AAATGAAACGTTTTTGATAAGGTAATACTAAAAGACAGACAAAATCATAGAACAACTTTCTTGACTGGATAATATTTGAAGTATTATATACATCAGTGAAAACGTAATGAATAACATTTAAACCAAAACTTTAATATTAATACTTTGTAAATAAATCTTCAATTGAAACTAAAAATATTAAATATCTATTGTTTCAACGTTCTAGTTATGGCTAAATAATCACTATGTTAAAATCCCACAGAAATCTAATCATAAAAATTATATATAAAAACATTACCCATGGATCTTCAGTAATCATAAAACATAAACAATACCCATGGATCTTCAGTAATCACAAAACATAAATATTACCCATGGATCTTCAGTGATCACAAACAAACATTACCCATGGATCTTCAGTGATCACAAAACATAAATATTACCCATGAGTCTTCAGTAATCACAAAACATAAATATTACCCATGGATCTTCAGTGATCACAAAACATAAACAATACTCACAAGTCTTCAGTAATCACAAAACATAAAAATTACCCATGGATCTTCAGTAATAAAAAAAAAAACAATACCCACAAGTCTTCAGTAATTACAAAACATAAACAATACCCATGAGTCTTCAGTGAGCACAAAAACACAAACAATACCTATTTTTCTTTTAGTAACTCAGAATGGAAGACTTCTGTAAAGACTGGAACTTCTGTTCTGAAGAAATAAAAATTGCTGAAGATCCAAACCCATCATTCTGCTTGTTGAATTAAAACCAACTAAACACCCACATCTCAAATTCAACAGGTTTCAGTTTTCACTTTGTCATTAAGAATAGAATTTGACAGGACTTTTAGGCTATACTAACTAATTTGAAAACTGGGAATCTGTTTATCATCATTCTGTTAATAAGTACCGAACTTTGCTGGAAGCTTGAACAATTTGTAAAACCCTGAATCTATTTAATGTTATATTTGTTATAAAGGTCAGGAGATGGCAGCACTTCTAACTTAAAATACATCATCAACTGTAATGGTACTTACTGAACTTTGTGATTGTGAACCCATTTAATAAAGAGTATTAATATGTACCACAATAAATCAACTTACATCAATGTTTCGAGTTACTGAAAAATTCTTGTCTCACTGATTTATGTAAAAATTTAGTAATATGCTTGATCAAGTGTGCCACAAGGCTTTCACCATAGATAAAGAATCACCAATTTCATGATTCACAAAGTTCTATCTCTTCCTTCATACACAACAATGTTCTATCTCTTCCTTCATACACAGATAATGTTCTATCTCTTCCTTCATACACAAATAATGTTCTATCTCTTCCTTCATACACAATAATGTTCTATCTCTTCCTTCATACACAGATAATGTTCTATCT